AAGGATGTTTGATTTGTCGCACCAGAAAGTTGCCTAAACCCCGACTTCCACTAATAAAAGCTGTTTTTAAAAACTCATTTCTTGCATTTTTCGTAAAAACATATTTATGAAGTACTTTTACTATTAAAATGTACAGTGCAATGTCATTAAATATTATTATTGTATTTATTATTGAATTATTAAATACATTTTTAAAAATCACTGACCTTTGACACCACACAGTTGTCACTGACTGCAACATGTAACAACATATATGTAGCTAGCAGTTACAAGCTAATACTGCATAACAAGTGGCAGTGCGTGGACAAGAGACTACTGGTGTGAAGAATTTCTTTTTATTGTATTAAAACGCGAGGACGCTTGGCTCGTATGTAAAGAAACCACTGAACTATTCAAAGAATACAGTTTCTCCACATTTACTGTCATTGTGCACAAAATGTAAAGCTAATGAGCTGCTAGCTAGCTGTTTTGTTTTTTAGCCCTCAGCCCACTGAGCCCACTGAGCCCAGTTGCATAATGCCTGTTGTTTGAAACATAAGATATCCCAACAGCCAACATTTCATTCAGTGATACTACTGACATTTTGGGAAGTTTGAAATCTTTGCCAAATCTGACACAGTAGGTCTGTCACGATCATGAAATTTTTGCTGGCAACTAAATGCTGTGTCAAAATGACCATTTTTAAAAATCTTACTAAAAAGGGCATGATGCACATTTTATATCTGCATACTTATTTGCATTTATATCTATGTGCATTTTCTATCTTAAATATAGTTACTGTTATCAAAGCTTTTGTATTACCTGTTTCAGTTATTAAAACTGTACTGGTCTGGCTGCACCATTTGACTTACTGGTTGTGCCACCTGACTTTTCAGACTAATTTCAAACAGACAGGCATCTACACACCCATAGAAAACTTTCTCTTGAACTTGAGTTTATTCTTACATTTTTTAAAATAAATAAACACTGTTATAATAATTACAGATTTTCATTTTTTAAGTTTTTTTCTGAGGTAACACCGCCTGACATGATAAACTAAACCATTCTAACCAAGGCTCAAAAATGACATTTATTCCAAAATTGGTGAAACAACTACTGACCTTGGCATTGGACCATGAAGGTCACTTGAGGCCCTCTTTATAATAAAATCCTATAGTCCCTCTTTTGTAAAAGCATGTCAAAATAAAAGTCCTTTATTTTTGGTTGTGTCACCTGAGATTTGGGGAAGTAAGAACTTGCAGACATTACCCCAAGTTTTTCAGTAAATTGAGCACTTTTGAAGTTTGAAGTTGCTTTATTTTTTAAGTTTACAAGCACAAGATAATGCCAAACTATTATATTTAGAATTTTATATAAATAAATTACATTTTTTGATAATTTACTTAATTATTACAGATAGCTGGACGGTTGCACCACCTGATATTTTAGAATTTTTGGAGGCAAATATATATATATATATATATATATATATATATATATATATATATACTAAAATGAATTTAAAATGTATTAATATATAGATGCATTTCACATAAAAAGGGTACTGTTGAATAATTTGATGTAGGTCATGTACTAAATTTTTTTTTGGAAAAAATAATGGGCTAATGTCAATGACCCGTATACATAATAGTGATCGTCTGTTTTGTTAATTTTATGCAACTACTATAGTACAAGTCCATCTTACTTAGACAGTTCTTTACTGTGCAGCTAACAACAGATGATACATTAGACTGTCTGGTGCCTAACAAGCTCATATTTGTCTTTTGAAACGGTGAAAATGTGAGCTTAAAACACTTGTTCTCCAAGCACACATGCTAAACATTAACATTACCTCTACTAGATATCAAAATACCAAACATTCCCTCTATAGCACACAGCTAAAAGTTAGAAAGTTGGAAAAAGAAAGGTTGGAGGAAAAAAGTGATTTCTTTTATTTATGTTTATTTATCTCACGTCAACTAATTAAAATGCATCCTGGTCACATTATGCTTGTTGTGATACAATAAGACTGCGAAATCTAATGATTGTGGAAAATACCAGCAATCAGATTAAATGACTGTGATCATCTCAAATAACTACGATCAGGCAGTTATATAATAATTTTGCTAGGCCTGTTACATAGTGTCCCTTCAAAGAGATAACAGGAAGAATTTCTTACTAAACATGATTAAATTTGAATAAAATATATAAATATAAAAATATGAATAAAAAATCACTACGATGGTGATGTAATTAAGACCAAGATATGCAATATTACACAGTGAGAAAAATGGACATGTCTCTCGTTTCTCTGTTGGAAAAGTTGAAAAAGTAGGTTACTTCCTGTTCCGATGTCTAGTTCTGGTTCTTGTATAGCATATTTTATTGCACAGTTTCCACACCATGTTGCACATACTGTCTAACAGGTACACTATATGTTCAAAAGTACCAACCCTTCCAATGAATGAGTTTATCCGCTTTGAGATGCATCCGTTCCTGACACAGGCCTTCACACAATCTCCTTAGAAAAGCACTGTCAACAGAATGAGACACTCTGGAGCAGTCACACATGACCATAAGGTCATCTGCCCAGTGCCTCTGGTATAAAACCTTTGGCTGTAGAGCGGTGGACATGTGTTCTCTGGAGTAATGGAGCTCCATCCAATACCTTTGGAATGAGCTGAGGTGAGGTTTGCAATCCAGCACCAATCGTCCAACATCTGTACCTGACCTCTTCTGGCTGAATGCAACCAAATTCTTACAGGAATGTTCCAACATCTTGTGGAAATACTTTCTGCAGCAAAGCTGGGACAAACTCCCTTTTAATACCCTTGATTTCAGAAGAAACGCTGTATGTGGATACTTCTGAAGATACAGCGTACAGGAAATTGAATTTCTTGACATGGTGCAGCTATGATCGGAACTAAATCATACATTCAAAAACGGAAGGAAGTCCAATTTTTTACACAATACTGGGTATGGACACCACTGACTGCTAGCTTTGCTAAAAGACACTGAATTTTCAGACTTGTATGAAAGGCTTGAGTGCAAATTTAAATGCAGAAATAGCTCTGAATACTACTCCCACCTGAAACACTGACTGTGGCCATCAGAAATTCACTGTCAGCCTGTAAGGTGCTCAACAGCCCTAAACGCCATTAATTGAAGATCAGATAATAACTCTTACTTGGCAGATTTGTCCAGCGCTTCACAGAGATATCCTTAAGGTTTTCTCATAGTTTGAAAAGGACATAACTCAAGTGATAGCGCTGCCTGTCGGCTCTGTTATATGCAGCCAATTTAGGACAGTTCCTTGAAAAAAGACTGTTCCTATCTAGTTGTCCATTTAGTTGTCGACTACATTTTACTCTTTATCGCCTTTCTTAGTGGTGAACACATGAATAAGTACAACATCATCCAGCTACTTGACCCCAAATAGTTTTGGTTCTCATTTCAAGCACACTACATATATTCTTTAGATATCCAACGGTATTGTAAAGCCAAACTTTGAAACCTGACAAATGGTAACTGATCATACCCTTGGCTCATAAATAGAAAAACACCTTCAACCCAAACCCAGAATACCTAACCCTAACTGCAGACAATCATCTGAACCACTGTGTACTTCAATCACACTACTACAACTATTACGACTGAACTGGGCTCAACTGGCACCTTCTTTTTCGGTACACTGCAGTGTCAATTTTCACACAAAACTCTCTCAGGGAGAGAAAATGTCACAACAATGTAGGTCCCTAAATTGTACATGATGAATGAGACGTTACAATGCTTGTATGCTTTATAAGGGGCCAGAATTCTTGTCTTCTTTGTATCAAAAAAGTTCATATTGTCAAGTATCTTTTAAGCTCCCATTGAACAGACTCACTGAAACACATCACTTCTCCCCTGAAACAACTTTTACCAACAGTGAAATCCTACCATCTGTTTCAGATCTGGAATCTTCTGTGACACTTCGCTCATTCACGGAATAATTCCCAGTGTGTGAGATTACAGCACGCACACATATACATATATATATATATATACATTTTTGTGCTTTGTTGCTTCATATAGCTGCTCTCAGATTGCATTATGTAACACATTACTACCTTCATTCCAGAACAAGATGCAGAAGCCTACTACAGCAAGAATGCTTTTCACTGTAATGTGTAGTTTAGCATCCTTCCTGCCGCTGTTCACACTTCTCCACAATGAATCACCAATCCTAGAATTAGAACCGGCATTATACAACTGACTAAAATAGTACCAGGCTGCCATTAAGACCGAAGCGCCAAAAGTCGACCAAATTCCTGCTGTCAAGCAGGCAAGGCTTCTTACCTTCTGACATTTGGGTTCTTTAGTGGTTCCTGACCAAAGCCAAGAGTATTGCCAGTATGTCCGGCTGAGAATGAGAATATTTGCCTGAAAGTGCTGATGTTGCTGTCACGGCTGCACCATCCCAACTGGTCAGAAATGGATGTGAGTGCCCCCCCCCATATCACCACCCCCCCCCCACACACCTCCTCCAGCTGTGGCAATCTCAGTGGACACTACTTACTTCTGCATGGACCATAGAGCCAAGTATGTCACAAATGTGGGGAAAAAACTGAAGTGTTTCTACTGCAATGATGTCTCCGTACTTGTTAAGCAGCAGAGAGGGGGCGAATTAACACAAGTGTTTCAAGCTGATCTGGCTTAAAGCAGCGCGATTCCCCCCACTGGCAGCTCACTAGCTGTGGCCATGTATGTAGGCACAGTCCAGCAAGCGGTGGGCACAGATGGATTAGCATAACACTGAGCGGCACAGGCTGACTTGGACGTATTGGAGTGACATGAAATGACAGCAGTGCTCCGCGGAGGAGAGAACACGTTAGGTACCATTAGCTATTGGTGGCACTAGCGCAAGGCTGAGAGAGGGAGAGAGAGAGGGAGAGAGAGAGAGGAGGGAAAAGGGGGAGGGAGAGATAGAGAGAGAGAGAGAGTGAGAGAGATGCGGTGTTGAAATATATCACTTCTCTTACCTTGAAAGGGAACATAGGACATGTTCCAACGGCACTGAACGCGGTCTCTTCAGTTTCTCGACATGCTAGCTGCTAGCTGAAATATCCCTCAGCGCTGGAGAGACAGAAAAAATGAAAAATAAAAATAAATAACCTGCTGGTCATGGGCTGCGTCGATGCAGAGCAACGTTCCGGTGTGGAAAATATAACATTTTTCAAAGAAAAAAATAAGAAAAAAAAACAGAGAGAGAAATTTATAATCCAGCCGTTCGTTAGCGTGAAAGTCGGCTCTTGAAATTTTGTGTTCACAAATAGTGACACGCGCCGATAGTGGTGAAGGGGGGAGAGAGAGAGCAGGAGAGAGAGAGAGCAGGAGAGAGAGAGAGAGAGAGAGAAGAGAGAGAGAGAGAGAAGGAGGAGGGGGAGTGGAGGAGGGAGTGTGCCGCCTGTCTGTTTCCCAGTTTAAAATCTGAATGCGGTCCGTGTCCCTCTCCTCTCCCCGTTTAAAGTGTTAGCACATCGGGCTAACGCCCGCCGAATGGCCGTTAACGTGGAGCAACGGTTTTTTTTTCCCCAACGCTCCAGTATTCCCACAGAGAGAGAGAGGGAGAGAGAGAGAGAGAGAGAGAGCCTACGTGTTGGCATATTTCTCACACGCCCCAAATATGTCTAATGTATGAGTGTGGGTTACTGGGCCTTTTTAAGAAGCCGCTGTGCTGCTGAAGTTTCCTACGTCGGCCGTTCAACTGGTGACGGACTGCAGAACTGACCGTTATAGCGCGCCGAGTAACGAACGTGCAGTGAGGAAACACGACTCGCGGATTAGACTCGGCCGAAATTACGGCTAAACCGCGTGAGCAGCGCAGTTTTACAACTTCGTTTCAGTCAAAGCTGACGCAGACGCAGCGTTAGCGTGTATTTCTGTAGGTTACATCTGAGGAAGAGGAAATTTGGTTTTCTAGCTCACTGCTTTACGCGCAAACGCAAACACGTTTGTATTCCTGTCCTTGAGGGGACTTTTCCATTCACTTGTGTGTCACTAGCTAAACACCTCACCCAACGCTGTCTTTAAAGGGGTGGATTACAGAGAAATCTAATTCACCCAGTTTGGCAATAATCATTGATTTAATCGTTCAGCCAAGACATGTTTGGTGTCTGAAGTCTGCTTCTTCGTTTTTGCTTGTGTTTTAAAGCCATGAGGCTAAGAGCTAACAATGGACATCTATGAGGCTGTTTACTCCAGTATACACTATATATATATATATATATATATATATATATATATATATATATATATATATATACACTCCAGAAGCAGAGAACATTTAGCTGTTTTATTGTAATGCTATGCTGGGCTATACTAAAATGTATGCATTTTATTTGTTTTACTACATTTGTAACTATAGAAATAAATGTAATATTTCTCCGTAAATGCTAATCCAAGTTTCCATTTAGTCTGTTTCATTAATCTTTATATATCAGTATTGGCATTTTATGTTCATGAAAATTATCAGTATTGGCCTGCAGTCCTCATATGGGTGCATTCTTAGTTTGCACCTTGAACCAACATGTATTTTTGGTGATAGTATCATTTTCAGATTTCAACTGACCTGTGTACATCCCCCAAGACACACTGTGATCAGATCACGATAGGATCGCTCAAAGCACAGATTTTGATCGCGTTCAACACAAATGTACATGGAATGTGTTTTCTGTATCTGCTTAGAATGAGCGGAATTGTGGAAAAAGATCAATGAGGAAATGCAAGATAGAGAATGCAGATGATTCGTCTCATTTTTAATTTGGGTTCTCCAATATTTTTCCAAAACATTTTTCCTCCATGTTTTGCTGCAGTTTTTTGACAATTTTCATCAACCTGTGGACCTTTGGTCCCCACAAAGAGCTAAATACAGACACACACACACATACACACACACTCACACACACATACATACACACACTCACTCACCATAGCTCAGGAAGCTGAGACTGAATGCTATGGTAACCAGAGCCAAGATGGCGTTCACTGCAGCCCAGTGTAGTTCTGTAGTAGCATTAGCCTCATTTAAAAGCTAACGGGCCACTGCTCTGCATCCATTTCTTTACATTGGCTTCATGTCCTGTTAAAACACACGCAAAGTAGGACTAAACTTTTAAAAAAAGACACCCCCCCTGAGTTTTCATTACCACTTGGTATGGAGTGGACTCTGTCCAATATTCATACATGGCTGCCATCTGGTGGCCTCATACATTTCCTACAGTCAACATACAGTGCAACATTATTTTAACATTCTTTAACCAGTCAAATTGGTTATCAGTGTTAAACAAGTTCACCACAGATGATAAAAAAATCTTAGACATAAGTCAAAAATACAAAAACAATCTGACCTGAAATCCTTCGTTCTTTCCACTTGTCCCACCAGAGAGAGCTCCTTCCAAGAGACACTAAGAAGACCCAGCAAGGAATCGTCCCGCTTTAAATTCTTTTTCTTTTTAATCTGGACACTCAGCAAAAAGAGTTCCATACAGTAGGCTACTAAAAAGTGGTTCTATAACAACGTTCATCATGGAGAAGAACCAATTTACCATGCACAGAACCATTTATGCATTCAGATTTTTGTCACGGTACTGTGCACAAGTCAGAGACCACCCTTCATTTATTTAATCTCCATATAAAATGGCCAATAAGAACAAAATTATTCATTTTTCAGAAGATATTTCTAAGAAGATTACATAAGATAGTCCACTCACATAGAGAAGGGAAAAGCCAAAGGGAAAAAAGACTATAGATATATAGAAAATGGGACTTTTAACAACTGCAAGACCTGGTAGACACCAAAACTGTCACCATGAGATTAACACCACTTAAAGCTTTCGTCTTTGTGGAGAGATCAAGCTTCACTCTTTCTTCAGATCTGAAAAAATGAATCCACAGGTGTCTCTGTCCATCCTTCCACTGTGAGAAGACAACTCAGCGCTATGAGTCTGTAAAGATGTGTAAATGTTACTGAGAAAAATAAACAGGCAAAAATGAACATTTGCAAAAAAGCTGGTGGTGTTCTCATAACACCCCAGAGTCCAGACCTCAACATCACTGAATGTGTTTGAGATTACTTTGATTGTGAGAAGCAGCAAATACAACCAACTTCTAAGACTGAACTTTAGAGGTGTGGAAAAACTGTGCAGATTTTTTTGACAAACTGAAAGCAAGTCTGCCGAAACAATGATAAAAACCGACAAAGACGCTATAAGAACACAGTGGGTAGCGCTGTCGCCTCACAGCAAGAATGGCCTGGGTTCGATTCCTGGCTGGATGACCAGGGTCCTTTCTGTGTGGAGTTTGCATGTTCTCCCTGTGTCTGCGTGGGTTTCCTCCCACAGTCCAAAGACATGCATTCAGGCCAACTGGACACGCTAAATTGCCCCTAGGTGTGAGTGTGTGAGTGAATGTGTATGTCTGTCTGTCTGCCCTGCGATGGACTGGTGACCTGTCCAGGGTGTATCCTGCCTTCCGCCCAATGACAGCTGGGATAGGCTCCAGCACCCCACCGCGACCCAGAAGGATAAGCCGTTTAGAGGATGGATAGATGTATGATAATAAATTATATACCTTGCACACAATGATCATTTTTGATTGAAGATACAATAAATGCTTTTACTAAAGAACCCTTGAAGAACCACTTTTCTTACCTTGAATTCTACGCTGTCATGAGTTCCTCAGTACGTCATCTGAATCGTGCACAGTGTCAGTGCTCCTGAGCAGCTGTATGTACAATGTGAGAGTGAAGGAGGCAGAAAACCTCATGTCGCATCACATCTCTGCGGTTATTTGATTTTGCTGAAGGAATTAGATTGTATTTGAGGCCTGCTCCCCTTTCCCGAACGGGACAGCTAATTCTATTGCTGTGGCTCAGTGTGTCCCAGTGATACTGTCACCTAAAAACTGAGGTTACTTAAACTCTAGTACAAACGTAGGAGCTGTTCAGCGTAAGGATGGACCTGAATATTCAGATATTCATTTGTTGGGTAGGTTTTCAGTTTTTAATTTCGAGATTCAGAAATGTGTTTTTTGGAGGGGGGTTTGGTGAAATGTAAGCTATCAAGGCGAACTACAAAAATACTGTAACATTTGGGGTTCTTGGGCGAGACTTGGGCAACTCCAGATTATGGCCTATAATGCGGCTTTATTTTAAACTTACAGAAAACAAACACAATTCGGCCCCCTGCTCTACTCCGGAAAACCCACCACTCCGCCTGTATTCAGGCTCTTCCATGCAGTTCTTCAATTCGTCCTTGTACAAATGAACCTAAAACACAAACACACATACTTTCTAAACCACTTATCCTTCTGGGTCACAGGGGGATGCTGGAGCTTACCAGCGGTCAATGGGCAGAAGGCTGGACAGGTCGCCAGACACACAGACACATACATTCACACCTGGGGCAATTTAGCATATCCAATTGGCCTGACTGCATGTCTTTGGACTGTGGGAGGAAACCCACACAGACATGGGGAAAACATCAGAAAGGACCCTGGTTGCCCGTCCGGGGAACCGAACCCAGGCTCTTCTTGTAGCAAAGCCACAATGCCTTTTGTCAGCACATGCCTGCACTATATTTATACATTTTAATTGTGCTTAAGTGGCCGCCATACTGGACTCTTACTAGGGCTGCAATGTATGCCCTTCGTACCTCTAGTTAGACTATCTCCCTGAAGCACTAGTTAACCCATGCACTGTGCTATTACCCGCTAGCCTACCGCTAGGAGAGGATAGTGGGCCTGGTAGATGGAGCGAAGCTGTGCTGTGAGGAACACAGCTAGCCTGAAAATTTGGATTTTACAGCGAATGAAGCTGCACATATACTTTCAACAACACAGGTCCCAGATTTTCTCAACAATTTCCTCAGCTCTCTGAACATGCAACCTAATGGACGCAGTTGATGTAGGCTTCCATCACACCTTAGGGAGCTATTAAGGAGGCGAACAGGCTCTGAATGTGTAAATCAGATGGTCAGATTAGGGCTGCGCAAAACATAATTTGTTAATCATTAACACAATATTGGCATTTGCAATATTGATATCATAGAAGGCCGCAGTATGCAAATGCAGCCTTCTGTGTTGTAGTGCTCCAGATGTTCCAGATGAGTTTCTGTGGGTGTTTTGAAGAGAGCCATTCAGGCGATCCAGCAATGATAAACAGTTTTGGTCAGAAGAATGCAGACCAATCTTTAA